GGCTAGGACAACTGTGGTGTTAGAAAATTCCTGGTCATTTCAATGGTCAGAGGAATGAGATGGAGCCAGCTCCCCAAAACTGAAGTACTCCTGGCAAATTTATGGGTCCTGAACATAAAGTTACATTTGTTTTTTATTAACAACAACACCAACAACGCCAACAACAACAACAAAATGTAGAACCAGTGCCTTGATCCTGGAGATCCAGCTACAAAAAACAAACAAACCAACCAAACACTATACCAAATACACACACACACAAAGAATTTGAGATCATTCAACTTTTTTTCTCTTTGCAAATGGGTTTGTATGAAATTGGCAGCCTCTTAATACTTTGTCAGACAAATTGGCCACATCAGACTATCTGCATGCCCTTAAGGCTGTAATAGTAACATGCTGTAATGTGATGCTCTAACAAAAGCTCCTAATTGTGAAGAACCATCCATTTACATCAAGATAAGCAGCTAGTACTTTTTCCCTCTCAGCCACTTACAGTTACTGACTTTGTCTACAAATTACTGCTTAGTGCTGTTCTCAGCCTTTCCCACTCTTTATTGAACCTTAACAAAACTGATGTATTCATTACTTTAACATGTTTTCTGGTTAGTGTGAGTGACTAACAAAATAATGTCTTGGTCTGTGATTCATCTTGAATATAGTATTTTCCAGTCACACAGCAAAAGCCTTGCTGACAGCGAAAAGATTTGATCTTTCTGAAGCCTTGCATGTGTGCTCCTAAAACTGCAGCTTTTTGTACCATGTTATTTATTAGTATCCAACATACCGTCAGTAGCCAAAGTTGCTTCTGCTGTCAGGGCACGTCTACAGGCATAATGAACTTGGCAACAGCCAGAAGCCAGCTATGCACAGGAAATGAAACCTGCAGCAATTAAATGCACTGTGGGAAGCACGTGGCATGTAGGATTCCCATGTGGTAGTTTGGCACAACCGAAAATCTGAAGATGGTGGGTAAAATCAAACGGGTGAAAGACCCCAAATCCTTCAAACAGAAAAAAAACCACCTATCCAAGCACTGCATGGTTCCAATCTCCTATGGCAACTCCTTGCTCCAAACTGAAGAGGAATGTGGCATACAAGACAAGTCTTTGTGAAGCAAATAACTAGTCAGGGGTACATGTGGAAGGCTGCACAATGGTGTTAGATTAACAAATTAGAAGGGTTCCTGAATTGCTGAGTCTGGTATAGAATTAAAGTAAGAGAGATTATAAGCAAAGAAGGAAGATGTTATATTGTTTAACAGATGTGCAGGGTCCATGTTTTTAGCTGTAGAAGAAAGAAGAGGCTTTTTGAAAAATCTCATACAGGAGGAGGATATTGGAATTTGGAGTAAACCTGACAACCCCAATGGTGAAGGTTCAAGATACAACAAAGATAACACAGGCTACCTCATTGACATTCATCTGCTAGGGGCTTGGCTCCTGGAATCATGGAAGAGCCAAGCTGTTGTTTTCTGCTGTGCTGGAGACGTGCAGAACAGGAATCAGCACGCAGGGGGCTGGGGCTGTGCAACCCTTGGTTGACCCCTTGCAACATATGTTGATTGCTGTTCAGATATGATTACTGCAGATCAGATGTTTGTTTGACACTGAGATCCAAAAGTGGGGGAAAGGAGGATGGAAAATTATATCACTGTTCAGCAG